AAGTAATATATTTAAAAGACCCTCAAAGAAAATTCTACCACAAAAATTAGAAGTGTACAAAATATAAATCTAGATTAGTTTTTAAAGCAACTCTGTAGTCACAAATCTCCAACATTTTCCATATGAATAAAAGAGACATCAAATGCACAATACTCTGGGAGTATAATTTACTTTTATAAATTTAGCAAAATAGAAACAAAAATTATAAAACCTTTCAAGTTAGAAAATGGGTTTATTCTTCTTTAATTCTTTTTGATTTTCTATCTTTTCCTAAAGATAATGTCTCTCTTCAATTTCTAATTACTCAATTAGAATTTAAAAGTTATTTTGGGAATAACTGCTTCCTTTAAGGAGAATCAGGATCATGGAACCATGCAAGTTATATCATCTCCACTATTTATTTCCCTCTACTGAAAAGGAAATAACCCTACTCCAAAAAAAATAAAAAAAATAAAAAAAAAATAAACTCAGATACTGTTTGGTAACAGTTGGTTGCCTGCCCTATTAATTCTGGTGGCTATTTAATAATAACCAGTTGAGGAACTTTGAAATCATTCATGACCGTGCCCCTACCCCACTTCCTCCTCACCTTCCACATCCAATCAATAACTAAACAAACACCTCTCTATTTGTTCCTTCCTGATGTTGCTACTTATTCAGGCCCCAGGCCCCTTAGCAGTCTTGACCGGACTATTCCAAAATCCCCTGAACATAGATCTCTGTCTCTAGGTCTCCTGTTTCTACTCTAGTTTCCACACTGGCTTATTTTTCTAAAATACCAATGTGATCTTTCTAAAATAGAGATGAGACCATGCCACTGTCTGGTTTAGAAGCCTTGATCCATAACCTACACGAAAAATTCTAAACATGTTACCATTATATTACTCCTTTACAAGGGACACCAGCTACCCTGCAAACGTCATTTCGAGGTGTCGTTCTATGCCTCTAACGTCTAACCACACTGGGCTGACTACTCGGGTTTGAAAGAGCATGAGAGGAGAGGAAACTGATTGAAGGTCTGCCAATGCCAAGATGCATGTCACAGTCTTGAGATGCAGAGATGATAAAGGTGGTCCTCACCCGCCAGAAACTCACAATGAGGTAGGGGAGTCAGGAAACGGCTGCTAATAAAGTACACTTTATGTCATGAAAAACATGTATCAGTTTAGATAATGGGAACACATGTAAGAGACTCATCCTTCTCCGGAGACTGAGAAAGTTATAGAAAGAAGATGGCATAGGAGGACAGACTTTAAAAATGAGGAGTGAGCTAGGCAGATCAGACAAGAGAGCTGGTGAGACAGGATTCTCAGTAGAAGAGGTACAGCATTTTATTTTCTTCTTGGAGTTGCAAATATCTGTCTCTGAACACATCAAACCCTGGTAAGGAGACTTGAAATCTTGAAACGTGAAAAACTACTAAAGGAAGTGGGGAAAGAGATGACTCACTTGGGCAACATAGCTAGGCTAGCCAAAGTGGTCCCAATGGGGCAGAAATAGGAATAACAGAAAATAGTCCCAGAGAAGCAGATTTGGCTACATCAAAACAAAGCACATTCTATCAGGCAGACTGTAAGGCAGGAAGAGCTGTTTTGGGTGGTTATGAGTTCCCTATCGCTGAAGAAGAGGTTCAAGCAGAAGCTTATAGTTATTAGGTATGTATGAATACTGTACAGGTTAAATAGGCACAGGTGGGCTTCCCTCTATGATTTTATGAGTAGAAAACTAGAGTATTACACTCCGATAGTATAACAAATCTCCTTCTAACCATCAAACGCTCCTGCTTTTAAAATATTTTATAATTAAACTAAATCCAATATAAACTTCCTGACAATA